GAATCTAAAATGAAAGTGTTTGGGTGCTTTTTATCTGCCGATGTTAAACATAATATATCTAAATTAAACACATATATTTTTAGGTATTGTATTATATTCTGGACCGCTAGGCCCCACCCAATCAAATATCCTTTCTGTATACATACCATAGTAAAATCCTGGATCAAATCCTCTTGTAGTCGAGATTCAGGTTCACCGGTAGGTCTATAAAGTTCTGTATTCGGCAGCCTGATCTTGGTCCACCATTTATATTACCATTACTAGAAAAAAAACAGTTTCCGCAAAGTTCATCAGTACCAAAAACGGACATTCCTCTTATAAGACGAATATCTCTAAGTAGCTAATCCAGAATTAATATATTCGTGTAATTAAAAGAAGTATAGGCCAGTACAAACTATAACAACAACAAAAATATATTCTTAAAAGCATATGGTTGTATATTTGTAGTTTATAGAACAAACATATCATAAGGATATTTATTTATTTTCATATGTCTGCTAGTTTTTAATGAATATACCTGCTTAACAAAACCGAGAAAAATAACACATATGGTGATGAATAAATAAAACTACACTAGGTGAATATGGAAATTATTTGTATATTTATGTAATTATTGATGTAGGTTATTCTCGTGTTATTTCACTGGGTTACTGAGTAAACTGATAACAATTCCTGTCGAGGTGTAAAAATAACTTTTATTCGTGGAAGGTGTAGGGCCAAGAGATTATATCGCAGATAGTGTATAATAATAAATGTCGATTACAAATGCCACACCTTTGGTTGAGATTTTTTCTGGGGTTCTTATCACAAAGATAAAACAGTAATTCCACAAATATTGGGATGGCTTTAAAACAAATGGATGAAAAAGTTCATAAGATATGTATTATATAACTTTATACGTGGCATACTTAGATCAGATAGACAACATGGTATATTAGTTTGTGATTATATTGTTCGGTTATATATGCAGGTTGTTAATATGCAGGTGATTGCATGCATGTGGTATGAGTTGGTATTATATGATATTGGTTGTTGGTTTACAGTTGGTTCTTAAAAATACATTATGCAAGAGCGAAATCTGCCTATTGTAGGTCTTTCTTAATACCTGAAATGTTATCTAAATTATTAATTATACATTAATTAACTGATCCAGGCCATAATCAACTCTCGATGGCGTCAGATTTCTCCGGTATTAAATAAATTAGAAAGGTTCAGCCATATTTTGATTTAATTTAAAAAATGGAGGAGCGAGATCTAGCTTCGAACAACCAGTACGGTGATTGAAATTATTGCACACGTCTTGTCAAACCTTCAAAGGCTAATATCTTTCCGGGGCAATAGAGTAATTTGAATGAAATTTTCAAATTATTCATTTTACATTATCTTTTTTCGAACTATTATAGCAAGAATGACTAGCTCTTTATCTAAATCTTACATAATGTATCTTTAATGCTGATAATAGTATGTTGTTTGTTCTTAGAAGTGGGCCAGTGGACTGATCTCAATTCTGGTAGGAAGTTGTTTCAATTTTGGGGATTGTTGAATGCTATGCCATGGTTGTTGATTTGTTTTATACTTGAATTGTTGCATACTGTGGTGTTTTTACTGATGTTAGGCGTATTTTAGGTGCCACTTGCACTTGGGTATAGGTCACCCCCGCCCGTATAATACACAAATACCGGCAGAAAAACACACAAAAAACCCTTTTTGAAATTAATTTAGAGCCCCATAGCCCGTTCAGACGCGTAAGATAAACCGATATTTAAACTCCTGCGATCGTTAAACCAGTTTAACTTTCTGAACTCAAAAGGTGGGACAAATAAATCAGCGTGAGCGCAACACAAAATATTGTCTTACTCCCCCCCCCCCCACACACAAACACACATACATACGCTCCCGGGAATCTTAAAATCTTAAACTAGTTTAACAAAGAAACAAAAACCAAACTTGTCTATAAAATACTATATCAGTCTGAGATCTTTTGCTATGTCTTTAGATACTATATCAGTCGGAGAACTGGGGCCATAGATTTGAAACTTTATAAAGCTTATCTCAGTAAATGTATCATCTGACCGTTTAGAAAGTTGTTTGTTGATGTAGACGGGTGAAAACTACCATTTACTTATTTACTTGTAATATATCGCCGTCATGGAGAAGTTTGTTATTCTGATTTTATCTTTTAGTAACATTTGATGGGTCATTTACTAAAGGGTCAAAACAGTGGATAAAGAAAACCAAGCTTCAAAATATCCCTTTCTTTATCTTTATCAACACACCGGCAAACAATTTAAATTCCGAAAGGGGCAAAAAACTTGCCAAAAGGCGATTTCAGCCATCATTAATTTGTTAAAATCACCTTTAGCATCTTCTGGTTGGCTCATTATAAAGATTATTTATTCTCGCCTCGTACGCTCGAGTGGTCTGTTTATGAACCGTAACAATTGTTAATACATATGGTTCCTGTAGAATTGAGCCGAGCCAATTCCACATAACGATAAGCAATAGATAAAACAAACAAACTAAACGTAAAGGAGGCTACGGGGCTTGGCATTATTGGAATTATACCCCATCTCTTCCCTTATATCATTGCCAAACGCTTATAAGAATCCTTATAAGATGAGGTCAGAAGTAGGCATAAAACATCATCCTCCGGGTTAAGTGCTGGGCACTATATTATACTGTTTACGGCGTATTTATTTTAAGATAATTAGCCCAAATTGCTGAATTACTGTATAATTTTAACTGGAAACGGGTTCAGATGCTCACCTCACAAATTATCAAAAAAGGCACCATTATTAAATTGGAAAGAGTATAAACGGTGCTGATTGCTCAAGTATGGGGCAAGGAGGGGTTATTGGCCTCGGGTTTCACAGTAGAACCTATCGTTACGCATGAGCACGTCTGATCATTTTGCCAGGATGACCATATTGTACATGGTCATGCTCAGCTAGAGCTGGCGTTTTTAAGTCGATCCATTTAGACAGCCCAGATAAGCCAGCGTTTAAGAAAATTCTTACCATCTAGGGTTTTAAGCTGCACAGTTAAAAATAATAAGGTTGTTTACACCAATTTGGGTGGAAACTATAGTTGCCACCTAAATAGAGGTAACTCCTAGCCTTTAGTGGTGTAAACTCATAACACCCAACTAATGTAGAACATTATATTACACCAATTCAGGTGGAAACTAGTTGCCACTTCCAGCAGTGTGACCTGTCTGATGCACCCATACAGTGTAATGTTACACCCGTGGGTGTAGATTAAGCATTACCCCTCAAGGATGCTTTGTAAATTACACTTTTATTTTAATTATTACACCAACGCGGGTGTAATTTGTTTTGTTGGATATTTATTTCTAGCCAACAACTTCTAAGTTCAGAAAACTTGAAATTGGCTATCGATCTCTATGATTATTAGTATAGGGCGTTTATACAAGCTAAAATAATCTATACTTTACTCGTTATGAGTAAACACTCTAAAATGAGTTATAGTTGTGTTATTAGTGCAATTAACGCCATATTTTACCCAAAGAAAATCAAATTGGAGTACACAAATAATTTTGTAACACAAGATACGGTGTAAAATTGATACCTTATTCGGAGGAATGTTTCCCTAAAATAATTACACATGTTTGTGTTAATGCCAGGTAACCCATCCCCAACACCCTTTAGTGGCTACAATTACGCATATCCTGGTGTTCAGTACTCATTAATACCGATTACATTTTTGCAACCCAATAAACGCTGTAAAATTAAGGTTTTTCTATGTTTTATTCCCCAATAATAGTTACACCCTTTGGTGTAAATGCAGTATAACACTGGTAGTGGTGTAGCTTATCAAATAAAACCCACAATTACACCTATTCAGGTGTTCAGTGGTCATGAATATCGGTTACACTTGATAGGTGTAGTTCTTTTAGTTGGTTACCCTTGGAAAGGTATTACATTTATAAAACGCTAGCTGTGGTGTAAAGTTTACACTTAATTAGCACTGCTTATAGTTTTTAATTACGTGTACACTCATTTTTAACAGTGTGGCTTATTTGCTCCACCCTTGCGTTCAGAAAATAAAATAAGTTAAGCTGGTTTAACGATCGTCGACATTTTGAAACAAGTTTAACTTAAGCGTCTGAGCGACCTGCACTGTGAATGGAAATGCTCAGACACGGCTTTTTACGCTTATCGTATTACTAGCCAGCTATTTGGTGTCCTGTTTCAGAAGGAACGCTAGTCAATCCGGGTTGTATTCAGTTTTCAATGGAAAAGACATCGCTATGTTTATGGTACGGATGTTTTTCTTGTCTTGAACTCTAAAGAAAGTAGCAACATAATAATGTTTTTTCAAGTACAGTAGATCGATTAACACCAAACAAAACATTCTAAATGTTTATTTTCATCCTAATGGGTGTGCAATAGAAAAGAAATTAGTGAGTACAACACTAATAGTCTTTCCGGGTGCACAGAAATATGCTGAGTCAATTATAAACTGAACATAAAGGAAATAATACTGCAACAGCATTCATTGAATATATTCTAGAACCTTAATGAAACGAGTATTAGAAGCAATACCGTTTCATTACAAATATATTATGTTCACGCTCCTTCTGAAGTCCTCGAGACATATTTTATTGGACTTCAGAAATCCTGCAAGTAAAGTAATAAAAAAAGTTTACTGTTTAGATTAAACAAATCACAAACTACTTTAACGTGTACACTATAATAATATGAAGTCATTCCCTAAGATTGACAAGTTTGAAAGACTTGGAAACTGATTTAATTGCTGGGGGTGTTGTCAGGTTTGGGACTCTTTGTTTTAAAGAGAAAGAAAATACCTAAAGTTGGTCCCAAAGACAAAAATAGAAATAATGTTTTAATTAAATCTCACAAGTTTATTATTGTTTTTACATTAATGTTACAACATGAAGTAATGCCATGCTTGTAATAAAATAAACAGTACAATAATCTGACATGTGCTTAAGTAATAATAAAATGTCTTTTTTACAGAACAGGAATCACAGACATTAAAACGACTGCAGAATGAAGTATATAAATTAAGATTCCAAGAACATCCAGAATTTGCTACATTTTTCGGTATACACGACTTCGATGATTCCCTGGAGTCGTATACTATGGAGGCTTACAAGCGGAGGAAAGTAAGTCTAATGTAAATTTTTAGTGAACTGAATTAAGTATAGAACGAGCTATTCCATAACATTCGGGTGAAAAGTAGCCCAATACGAAAGGAAAAGCATTTCGATTACTGACAAGTGATCTGTCAATAATACTGATTAACCCACGGTCATTTACCATTTACTACGATTATACTATCGACTGTAGAAGGCAAATCGCCTAATCTGGACTATCGAGTTGAGCAGCATGCGGAAAATTTATGTTAGCAAAAAGGTTAGCAAAATATACAAAATCATCCAAATGGAACAGGCTAGCATGACTATTGGCGGGAAAAGCCACCTTAGCGAGATGGTAACAAACGGACATTTAGATGGATGGAATAACAAAGCAAAGTAAAACGAAGCATTAGATATTGGGGTCCACTCATCCGTGTGACGCCCATTGTATTGGTCTAATGGTCACTGGATCAACGCTTATTGGTCTTGCGAGTGTATTGGCGTTTTAATAATAAAGTATTAGAGTGTTTGTATTATTTGGGGATATTTTGAACATGGAATTCAAACATTCTCCGAAGACGCCCTACAGTTGGAATTGACATTTAAAAAGGCATTGTCGAATTCGATGACCGTGCGATTTTATTGATAATTTTAGTGAATAGAAAGAATACTGATATGTATAATATGTCTTTATCAAATAAATCAGGTTCCAAATTATAACCTCTATAATATGCAGTGTTTGAAAATAGATATTACCTGCATAATCGAAGCTATTATGGGTGCCGTAAGGCGACATACCTAAAGTCTAGCTCACAACCAACCATACGTGCTACGACGGGCAGTCTACGGGGGAAATTCACGCGTCACCTGCGTGTGCTCGGCACCGTAGAATATCGCAGATAGGCCTTAGAGACTGTTGGTCCTGCACATACAAGCCGAGCCGAACACTCGCAAGTGACACGTAAGTCTCTCGCACAGGTTTACTGAAATTTTCCCCGTGGACTGTCCGTAGACGTACCTCGGGGTTGTGAGCTAGCATTTACTCTCGTCGTCTAAGTGTTGATTGGAATAAGGATGAAAAACATACAACTGTTTTGTGACTATATTGTAAATTGAATCGTTCAGTTAAGCTGTAATCTCTGACAATAATTGAAGTCGTAAATATGCTGATTTTCTTTCACTTTAAAAATAAGCACCAATGACAGATTTAATTACCCGTTTTCACTTCAAGATCTTTATTAATTAAACTTCTTCACATAAAAAATGGATATTATTGTTTGTTTTTTTCCCTGTTTGTAAATGATTAATTATATACAGTCACGAAAAGCATCTTTCTTTTGACAAAATACATTTCTTTTTTTTTTACAAACCGATTTCTTATCAGCTTTTCTTTGTTTACTTTGACCTCGTTTATTTCTAATTAATTGCATACGGTACAATAGTTAAGTCACGAAAGACTTAAAGTAGCTAAGTCTCTAACCCAATATTATCCAAAGTCTTCTACATTGAGAACACGAATTATTTGTCAATTTAAATCAACATTGATGTCGTGGTCTTACCGGGAAATGATGGGCTTCTGATATCCAATATTTAAGACAAAAAATAAACATTTTACCTTTGGTACACGAAACGTGTACCATAATTCGTTTCAGCGCTATTTGTAAAAAGGGACTCGAGGAACGAGGCTATACATATTCCACGGCGACAACATATTATTCTTATCTGGAGAGCATGGCAATAAATACTTTCGATGTAGACTGGAATAACCAGACTCTAAAGATTGCCATTCGATTGAGACTTCTAGCGTAATTTGAGAGAGAGAGAGAGAGAGAGAGATGGGGTTTAACGTCCACTCGACACAAACTAGGTCATTTCGGGACTAACATAATAATGGTTTAATTTTATTTCAATAATTCGCTTGCGCATAGGGGTCTTTAGCAGTGGGAGGAAACCGGAGGACCCGGAGAAAACCCACGAGGTTGGACAGGCGCCCCTACTCCTTGTCACGTACAACCGGGGATTCGAAACCACGCCAGTCGACTCAATGACAGACTTTATGATACAGCGCGCGCACGCTAACCATTCAGCCATCCAACCCCCCGCGTAATTTGAACATAGCTGATTTGAAATTAGAGTAAAAACGGAAACGATTTAAAGATGGGTTCCCGCGTACAAAATTTGTGATTTAATGGTATATATAGACTAAAAACATATTCAAACTAATTAATTTGTCATAACTTTGCTTCAATTCCGTCTCAAACATTGTAATTGCGAAGGAATGTCCTGCTATAAAAATTTCGATCAAACCAGGTCATGTTTACGTCACGTCTTGGAAGTCAGAGGTGAATTCATTGCATACATAAGACGATGTTGTCTTTGATCGCTTACTATTTATTACAAATATCGAATCCTAATTAAATTCTCGGATTATCCACCACCCGCGTCTTTTTCCGTCATTTTTATCTCAGAAAGTGTTGTACGTCTAACTCTTCATAAAGTTTATCAGCTTGTACATCAAGCGCTCAATGTTCGCGTGTGACCTTTGACATCACGCGTTCAAAAATTCCTAATCGTCGGGCTGTTGATTAGGGGAACCCTTACATTTTTGTCCTGTATACGCTCCATGAGTGTTTTTCGGGGAATCCAGTATTTTTCTAGTAAGATTGGATATCTCTACTTTCCATATATACCAAAATTACCATACTTTCATTGGAATTAACCACCCGATAAATACTTTTCTGGGAACCTATCTTTAATGTAAATCAGTTTATATACATTCATATTACACTATTATATGCGTTGCGACCCATTTGTGTCATTTTTTAGGTCCCAAATATCAGCGATTTAGCTCCTTTAACATATCAATTTTGTAGACTAAACACCTAAGCTATAAGATTTAAATAAAAAGTAAATAGGTTTAGTATTTATTTTAATATACCCCCCCCCCCTCCTTTATGCTGCTTTGGCGGCTACCCGCGAAAAAGAGGGAAAATGGAAAATGCAAATACTCCTACTCGACACTGCATTATACTATTTATTGGCCTCGTTCCTGAACCCAGTTCAGCTCAAACACTTAACTTTATTTATAGGTTCAGTCAGATATGATTTATTGATTCATTAAAATATTTTAATTTGATTGGTCTCTTCATTTAAATCCTTGTTGGAAATACTCATTAATTCAGTAATAATGGAAGTCTACAGATATAAATTTAAGCCCAAGTCGTAACCAATTTATCAATTTAACTGCAAATCCAGACTATTGATAATGTTCGCAGGCTACTAAAATATTTAAACCGTTTTTATTAAAACAGATATTCATATTTTTCTGATTCTTTATTTAAATGCTACATGTTTTATTCAAAACGACCATACAGACAAATCATTCAAGATTACGTGGATGTATATCTGAAGATAATACTTTCAAAAATTCTATAACCTTGAATTCATACTCGGGATAATCAGTGTATATATACTATTCAAAAAAAGTAGGGGATATTTGATTTTTAAGTGTTATTAAAGTCACCTAATGAAACTGACGAAGAAACAAATGACAAAATGAAATGAAGTTCACATTCATCGATTTATTCCAAATGATCGTTAGACTAAGTAAGGCACAGACTGACCATTATAAGGGTAAAATGATACCCGGGGTCAAACAGCAAAGTTACCACAGCATCACAACCAAGTCAGTAACGGGTAAATCCTCCTCTGTTTGCCAAACAAGCATTGATCCGACGTTGCATACTCCTAATGAGACGTCTAAGGTCATTTTGGTCCAGATTGTCCCATTCCTGTTGCAACGCAGCAGCAAGTTCTTGGACATTGGCAGGACGTTGTTGACGTTGACGTAACCTCTGTCCAAGCATGTCCCAGACATGCTCGATGGGGGAGAGGTCGGGACTCAGTGCTGGCCAAGGTAATGTGGTGATGTTCTGTTGTTGGAGGTAACCTGTAACGATCCTGGCCCTGTGACATCTTACGTTGTCATCCTGGAAGATGAAACGGCGGCCATGACGTCGTGCGAACGGCACAACATGGACTGCCAAGATGTTGTCCCGGTAGTACTGGCCTGTAACACGCCCTGCAACAACATGTAAAGCCGTTCTTCCAGCAACAGTGATGCCTCCCCACACCATAACAGAACCACCCCCAAATCGATCATGTCTGATGACGTTAACGTCTTGGAAGCGCTCGTTTCGACGACGCCACACCCTCCTACGTCTGTCCAAAAAATCAACAGTGAACCTTGACTCATCTGAAAACATCACATTGCTCCAGCGTCGATTATCCCAGTGTTGACGATCCCTACACCAACGACGTCTTGCCTGAATGTGATGATCTCTCAAACAAGGGATCACGCGAGGACGTCGGGCGCGAAGGTGACCCCTATGCAGTCGATTCCGAATCGTCTGGCCACTCACTCTCACACCAGTGTCTGTTTGAAGACGAGCGCTGATCTGATTTGCTGTGATGACACGATTTCTCAAGGCCAAGGTACGGATAAATCGATCCTGGGCTTGAGTTGTCGCCCTTGATCGACCTGAGCGTGGTCTGTCCTGTACAGATTGTGTATCACGGTATCTGGACCATAGCCTGCTTATGACAGACTGAGAAACATTCATCGTCCGCGCCACAACCGCCTGTGTTGTGCCGATCTGTAGCATGCCAAGGGCACGTAACCTTTCATTTTGGGTAAGCCGACGCATATCAAAATTTGTTTTCTGGTCACTAAAACAATTAAACTGATGTTTCCACCCTGGAATTCAATGCCACAATGACTGTAACATTCAAAGTCAGAGTCGTGCAAATCTTGGGTTGGACTCCCATGATGATCCCAAGCATCACCTGCATTCCATGCGGTAGCTATTGGTGCGTTTGGGCGTCACATGTAACTGGAAATGTTTCTTCTGTTAGGTTCTATAGTGACTTTTTTCGTAGTCATTTGCATATTTTAGTATTATGCCCCCAAAATCAAATATCCCCTACTTTTTTTGAATAGTATATTATTGTGGCCCAGCGATAATGGG